ATATTAAAGTGTATTAGACAGGAACATAGGCCAACAAACTTCAGTTCCTATGATTGAATGATGGTCCTTTTTTATTAAATACCTGATTAATGTAATTATTTTACTAGAAAAGAACTGACCAAAATAAGGCTCATTTTCTAACTTTATTTGTCCTTGGGTGTGGACAGCAAGTGACACTAATTGGATTTCTCCCATCAGTCTTCCTGAGAACTTTGGCATAAGCTATTTACCCTTCGTTTAGGGAGGCAAAATGTAAATCACTGACTTTTAAGTATCCTTGGTTTAGGGAAGACAGAGTTTTCTAGATGGTTGCAAACTGCCGGGGGACCTAAGGCTGTGCCCCCTACCAAGCACCAGGCCAGGGGACCTGAGGCTGCGCCCCCTGCCTGGCAGGGCTTGATGGGTGTGAGGCCAGCCAGGTCTGGATCTTGCCCAATGGGGGTGAGGCCAGCCAGGTCTGGATCTTGCCCAATGGGGGTGAGGCCAGCCAGGTCTGGATCTTGCCCAATGGGGGTGAGGCCAGCCAGGTCTGGATCTTGCCCAATGGGGGTGAGGCCAGCCAGGTCTGGATCTTGCCCAATGGGGGTGAGGCCAGCCAGGTCTGGATCTTGCCCAATGGGGGTGAGGCCAGCCAGGTCTGGATCTTGCCCAATGGGGGTGAGGCCAGCCAGGTCTGGGTCTCGTGTGATTTCAAGGAGCGTGCAGATGGGCGGGGACTTGACTCTGGGTCCCATGGCACACCCAGACTCTGACAGGAGGAAGATTTTCATATACATTTTACTAATTTTCTTTCATCTCTGACACTTCTATTATAGAGAAAGGGCAAATAGCAATATTAAAGTATTTCCTCTAATTAATTCCCTTTTAATGTGCATGAATTTCATGCACTGGGCCACTAGTATTAAAATTTAAAAAAAAAAGATGTCACAAAGTATACAGTTGAAATTACTGCAGTGAGTAAGAGGACAAAGAAATCAACATTTTCATGCAATGAAAATATTTTCCTAGTTCTTTGAGGCCCAAAATGAGGAATTTGTGAAACAAACTGGATGTGCTGATGAGTGTAGCAGTGTACCAATCCATTAATATTTTTTCAAATTTAATTTCTAGAGTTTTACTTTTCATAATAAGCACTATCATTTTGTGCATACAATAAATCTACATTTGGAAGAAGTATTCGAGTTAATATTTTTGTCTGTGCTTCCTTCAAGCTTCCTGAGCTCCAGCTGCTCTTTTTCCCGGAGAAGATCCATGAGACACTCCTCAGGTGAGTTCTAGTCCATAGTTCAGATTTTAGCCTCAGAAATACATCCAGGCCTGAGTAGAGGAATATGTAACAGTGGCCTCTGCTCCCTCTCACCTGTCAGGATGACCTCCCTCCTGAGAAAATCACATCCTGGGCATGATGAGGTCTCAGTTTCCCTGCCTGAAGCTCGGTTTTCACCAGCTGGGCTCTCCTCATCATTCTCAGATTTCTATGATGTCATCACTTAGTTTAATGGAAATTACCATCCCCTGGAGCAGGAGAACCGAGTTACTGCCTGAACCTACATTTTTTTCTGCAGTCTATCCAGTCACTTTCCCTAGGCCTCACTGAGACCTGTGCAGCTCCAATGGCAGTTGGCCGAGATTTCCCAGGGCTGAGAGGTTTCCCAGGAGGCAGACTAGCATGCCAGAGCAGCCCCAGGCAAATTGGTTTGAGTCACTCCCCCTCTTAAAGGTGGAGTTTGTAGTCTGTGCGCTAGTGCACATGTGAAGTTCTTTCCCTTCCTGTTGAGGATGTGCTGATGGGTGTACCAGTGTACCAATCCATTAGTATGTTTTTCGAAATTAAATTTCCAGAGTTTTACTTTCCATATTAAGCACTATCATTTTGTGCAGACAAGAAGTCTACATTTAGAAGGAGGCTGTTGACAATAAATGTGGTAAGGTATCTGAGGAAACAACCCCTGCAAGTAAGTGACCCCTAGGCTTCATCTAGGCCTCTCTGCTCTGGAGATGGGGAACATCTAGAGGAAGAATTCTCACAGAGCCTTATCTTCCCTAGATAGGACAGGACTTTGTGTCATCACAAAATTATCTCCAGTGCCATGGTAACTGTTTCTCTTCATCTGTTGCTGAGCCTCAGGGAAGTCTTGTTGGAGTGAGCCAGTGCTCTGACAGCTGACAGATGACAGATGTGGCACTAGAGCTAGAGGAAGTGGTGACATGTGTCTCCATGGGCCTTCCTGAGAGCTGCCAATTCTGGCCACTGTTGAACTCCTCATCAATTTCAGATTTTTTACTTTTAGCTAAACATGATGTATTTAATTTTCATTTTTACTGAGATGGTTTTCCCTTATAGTTAGTGTTGTTTTTTTTAATGTTATGAATGTCTTTTTTATTACTGCTTCTTTTTTATCTGTTTTAAAAATTTTTATCCTAGAAAATATGTTTCTCTTAAAGTTATTTTATGTCTCTCTAATTACTTCTGTGAGAAGGTCCGTTTTCTCCAGACACCTTTTCATCTGAAATCAGTAGCTACTCTTTCGTATTTCTGTGGCCAAACACATGAGTTTATTTATTTCAAGCAAATTACTTCAAAACCCAGGCAACAAGTGTACTTTAGGACATGGGTAACTGGCTCTTTTTAAGCTATGTGTGCTCATGCAAATTCTTTGAGGTTCTTATAGAAAGCTTTGCAGTGCAGTTGTTTGCCCTTTTTAAAGTCAAAGTTGGCCCTAGCTAGTTTGGCTCAGTGGAAGAGCATTGGCCTGCAGACTGAAGGGTCCCAGGTTCGATTCCCGTCAAGAGCACATGCCTAGGTTGTGGGCTCAATCCCCAGTAGGGGTAATGCAGGAGGCAGCCAGTCAGTTATTTTCTCTCATCATTGATGTTTTATCTCTCTCCCCCTCTCTGAAAAAAATAAAAATATATTTTAAAAATAAATAAATAAAGTCAATAGTTGACTTCCAGTGTTCTCCTTGTGATGGGCATTTCCTCTTCTCTCAGGGTCACCTAAGTGGGTCAGAGCATCCTGAGCACTGGGTCTTGGTGGAGATGCCAGAATGAGAAGGCGCAAGAGTCCTGGTCCCCACTGACCAGCCTCCTGGGTGACCAGTGCTGGGCCTGGGACAGGGGCCACTGTGCCCCTGGCTGCCTCCTCTCCTGCCACCCTCACCCCGTTCAACCCACAGAGGCCCCCAGCTGAGGTTGGTGTGACCTTTGAGGATGTTGCTGTGCGCTTCTCTCAGAAGGAATGGTGCCTCCTTGATGAGGCTCAGAGACACCTGTTCCTCAAAGTGATGCTGGAGAACTTTGAACTCATATCCTCTCTAGGTTGCTGCTGCGGAGCAGAGGATGTGGAGGCACCTACTGAACAGCATGTTTCTGGCAGAGTGTCACAGGCAAAGAACCCCAATGGAGCTGTGTCCTCCCAGAAGAGCCACCCCTGTGAGTGTTGTGGGCCAGTCCTGAGAGACATTTTCCACTTGGTTGAGCAGCAGGGAACACAATACAGCCTGAAACTATTGAGGTGTGGGGCATGTGCAAAGCAGTTTTATTTCAGCAAGAAAGCCATTGGCTGCAACCAGACGCTTGCTCAGGACCATGGTGTCTGTAATGGAATACAGTGTTTTGTGTGCCGTGAATGTGAAAAATCTTTTACAAATATCTCTGTTTTCCGTCATCATCAGAAATTGCACACAGGAGAAAGACCATACGAGTGCAGTGAATGTGGGAAATGCTTTAAACAACACTCCAACCTTATTCGACACCAGCGAGTTCATTCTAAAGAAAAGTCTCATGAGTGTGGCGAATGTGGGAAATTCTTTAGCCAAAGGGCAGTCCTCCTGAAACACCAGAGAGTTCACACTGGAGAAAAGCCATATGAATGTGTTGACTGTGGGAAATCCTTTAGCCAAAGTTCAAGCCTCGTTCAACACCAGAGAATTCACACTGGAGAAAAACCATATGAGTGTGATGATTGTGGAAAATATTTTACCAGACTCTCTGGCCTTTATCGTCATCAGAGGCTTCACACTGGAGAAAGGCCTTATAAGTGCAGTGAATGTGGGAAATCTTTTGTCAGGAACTATCACTTGAGTGATCATCAGAAATGTCACACTGGTGAAAAACCTTATGAGTGCAGTCAGTGTGGGAAATCTTTTACCAGTAGGAGTAGCCTCCGTTATCATCAGAAATGTCACACTGGCGAAAAACCTTAAGAGTGCAGTCAGTGTGGGAAATCTTTTGCCGGTAGGAGTAGCCTCCTTTATCATCAGAGATTTCACACTGGAGAAAGGCCTTATGAATGCAGGTAATGTGGGAAATCGTTTACCTGTAGCAATAGCCTCCTTTATCATCAGAGATTTCACACTGGAGAAAGGCCTTATGAATGCAGGTAATGTGGGAAATCGTTTACCTGTAGCAATAGCCTCCTTTGTCATCAGAGATTTCACACCAGAGAAAGGCCTTATGAATGCAGCGAATGTGGGAAATTGTTTGCCCTCAACAATCACTTGCATCATCATCAGAGAGTTCACACAAGAAAGGCCTCAGGATTGCAGTGAATGTGGGAAATATTTTGCCAGAAACAGTCACTTCGGTTGTCATCAGAGTGTTCACAGGGTATGCCAATACTTTTGAAGGGAATAACTTTCAAAGATCTTGCAAAGGGCCATGTGTCCTAATGCCTGCAATTCCATGGGTGATGGTCACTTGGGTGTAGGACAATAGGGTTTAGGGGAAAGCATAATTGCTACAGAATTACTGGCCTAATAGGGATTGTGCATAATTCTCAAAATGGAGATAGGTTTCATTTATCTTCATCAATAACTCATAATGCAATGTCCAAGTCAGAGGAGAGGTGAATGTTTGTAACTTTGTCATGCTATATCACTGTTGTTCAATTGCATTATGGTGAGCCTTTTTTTCCGATGTGCATTTGCTATCTCTATATTTGGTTAAATATCTGAGCATATGTTTTGCCAAATCTATGAATTTTGGCAATTTTCTTTAACAAATGGACAGTGAAACAACAAAAATGCAGGTTAGAATTTCACTCATTTTGTGTCTTTTTTGCTTGATAGGATAAACGTTTTTCATATTGGGAAAAAAATAAAATCAACAATTGACAAAAAAAAAAGAAAATACATTTATATGCACACAATATGAATGAAACATAATTTTGAATTCGGAGACCCTTAGAATTAAGAATCAACCCTCCATATGGATGCACCCATATATACTGACTCTCTTCTTGCTGTTTTTCCACTCTTTCGGGTCTTAAGAGCCCTAGACATGTGTGACATAACATTTGAGGAGGGCAGGAACAAAGAAGGCATGACAAGAGATCTATTCTTCCTCTCCCAAGTTGAAATGCCAAACATGATTGTCCATAGAAGTATGCATGTATTCGTTGATCATGTTCTAGGTCAGCTATTTTCAACTTTTTTCATCTCATGGCACACAAACTATTTACTAAAATTCTGTGGCACACCAAAAAAATATATTTTGCCGATCTGACAAAAAATTAGGCATAATTGCTCAGCCCGTCTGGCTTAGTGGTTGAGCATCAGCCTATGAACCAGGAGGTCACTAGTTTGATTCATGGTCAGGGCACATGCCCAGGTTGTGGGCTTGATCCCCAGTGAGGGGTGTGCAGGAGGTATCCAGTCAATTATTCTCTGTCCTCATTGATGTTTCTATCTCTCCCTTTCCTTTCTTCTCTACAATCAATAAAAATATTTTTTTAAATTAGGCATAATTTTGATTCATTCAAGATGACTAGTGTTGTATTGGCTGTTGTCTTTTTTTTTATTTGGCAATCTAAGGGTAAAGAGGTCAGTGCCCCTGACCAAATAGTCAGGTACTGCATGCTTTAAAAATGTTTGTGGCACAATGGCTGAAAATCGCTGTTCTAGGTTATTATTATATCTATATTTTTGGTACCTGGTGGGTTAATAAGCTGTGAGTTCTCCTGGAGACAGAATCACTCTTCTTGTCTCTTAAGGAATATGTGTTTAATTTGTTCCATCCAAACAACTTCTGAATGAGGCTTTGGAATTTAGTAAGTTGGGGACTTAGTAAGTTGGGAACAGTCTGTGTTCCGTTTGTGGAAGAGGAGAAAATATCCTTTGAGACAGCCATGGAATTGGGCTACAAGCCCAAAGACTGAACAGGATGCACATTAAAAATTGAACTACATATCCCACGACATTAGGACTCAGTATCTCTCAGCCCTTTGTGTTCTCTGTGGCCTAATGCATCACTTCTGTGGCATTGGTAGGTGTAGGGCAGGCTATACTTCTTCCAGCTGATAAGAATTTTTATAGAAACTGGTGTGGTTTTTTTTTTTTTTTTTAAGAAAATCTTCTATAAGCTTGAACAACCAGCTATTTTAATGACCTGAAGCTACCTAAGATTTGAGTACTTTGGACTTGATTTTGATATGCATCAAAATAATTAAATCAAAAAAGGGGGGGAGAAACCAAGATGGCGGCATAGGTAAACACCGGAGATTGCTGCCTCGCACAACCACTTCAAAAATACAACTAAAAGATGGAATGGACATCATCCAGAACCACAGGAAGGCTGGCTGAGTGGAAATTCTACAACTAGAAGGAAAGAGAAAAGCATACGGAGACTCAGAGGAGGCGCAGTGCGGAAATAAAATACTAAGGTGCGGAGGTGCATGCGGAGTGGGCTGGCAGCTGAAGGCGCGGTTGTCTTTTTCAATCGGGAGGGAGTCTCAGGCTCTGAGCTCCAGTTCTGGGCGATTCTCTAGGGACCCAGACTCATATGGGAGAAGTGGGACTGTCTGGCATCGGTTGGAACTCGAGGGCAGCTTTCTCTCCGAGGGGCTTGCAGCGATTACCTGGACATTGAGAAGCAAAGCCTCTGAGGGCAGGACTGAGAGCAGCCATAACTGCTAGCCCCGCCCTGTTGATTCCGTGGGACCTGCCCCACCCAAGCCCTGCAGGGAGGCTTTTGCTGGATAGCCTCAGGCAAAGGCTAGATTAGCACCTCCCTAGAGATCCAGGAGCCAGGAAACCCAGAGGTCAGAGTGGGACC